CATAATTAGTCCTTGAGAATCATAAAAGCATGCAATATTCATTTACAATATTGTATTGTAAACGTCCAGACCACTAATTAGAAACCTAGCCACTATAATTCAATGGGACAAAATCAAGATATGATCTGGTACTTCATACAGTTCAGCAACTCCTGGAAGACCACCCGTTTCTCTCCCTCCCTGGGATACAAAATTCAGCTAGAAGTATCTTTAATTCTTCCTTTTACTGTCTTCTTTTTGTATAACAATAATCAAGATTGGATATTTTCTCTGCCAAGCCAGACATGCTTATAAGTGTTAGCTAAGGGACTATCCAAAAATCCATTTGAAACCTCTTTTTCTGCTTTGCCAAAACAGGTTCCACCCTTGAAAATGTCCTGCGAGGTGTATTAGAAGTTGCAGTGGGTATAGCAGCTGGTGGACTTTTAGGAATTTTTATTCGTTACTTTCCAAGCAAGGATCAGGTAAGAAGAGAAAATCTTTTGAAATGTAGCAATCTTCTATCTCTTGAAGCACGAGAAACAACACATTTAAAATGAACTCCGTTACACTTTAGGTGGAATATGTATAAGTAGTATCTGGCAGTTGCAAATACTTTGATCAGAAGAGTGCTTTGGACCTCGTACAAATACCAGGACAACATCATTATTCTATTCATTGAAATTCATTATTCTATTCATTATTCTATTCATTGAAGTTGTTGATCTTTGTTCAAACTTTTGAACAAAGAGTTAATTCTTTAAAACAGTGGTACCTTTTATCAGATTCACCTGAAAAAAATGGACTGCTTTAATGAATAGAAGAGAGGTATTATATAGGTTTAGTGATTGTCCAAAGTTACAAAGGCTCTGAAAAAAGTGACTTATGATCAGTTTTCACACTTATGACTGTTGCAGCATTCCCACAATCACATGATCAAACTTTGGATGCTTGGCAACTGGCATGTATTTATGATGGTTGCAGCATCCGGGATCCTGGGATTGTCATTTGCCCTTCTTACAGAGCTTCTGAGAAGCAAAGTCAATGGAGGAAGCCAGATTCGCTTAACAACTGCATGACTCACTTAACAAATGTAATGATTCACTTAACAACCATAGCAAAAAGGTTGTAAAATGGGGCATGGCTCATTAATTGCTTATGGGGCAATTTGTGATTGTAAGTTGAGTTTTAAATTAGTTTTTTCCAAATTCTTTTTGAAGCAAGTACAACTTAGATTTCTAGTATATTAATTTTAAAGAAAAAGTAAAGATTGCTTAAATTGAATTGGGGATCTATAGTTTCTTTCTCTTTCTTCTGAAAGCTATTGTTTTAATTCAAGTGTTTTTTTTTCAACTTCCTAATCTAACCTGGAATTTCCAGGCACTTCCCTATCCAGAGGTAACCCTACTTAGCTTTATGTGTTAGCCAAGGTTTACAAGATTGGCCAGGATTTACATAGCCACACAAATCCAAAATATTGTATTATCTTCAGTTTCCTGTCGTTTGGATTGACATTTATGAATCATGTCTCTTGCTTTCTCCAATTTCTCTCCCTAGACATATCTTGTATGGAAGAGAGCATTCTTTATTATAGGCTTATCAATGCTTGCAATTTTTGGCAGTATGTATTTTGGTTTCCCTGGATCTGGAGGACTGTGCACAATTGTCTTGGCATTCCTGGCTGGATTATCATGGTCTGATGAGAAAGTGAGTATTTAATTATCATGTAATCTGAAAGTTTCCCTGATTCCAGAATATGTGAGTTTATTTTGGGCAAGCTGAAAGTGTTAAAAAATGTTTCAACATGAATTTCTTTGGTTCCAGTTTTTAGCCATTTCTTTATAGGCTAATTTGCGATTCCCCATCCAATGATTTATGGGTATTTTAAAAAACATTTCTATAGATTTGAAGGTTTCTTTGAGCCTGCCATCTTCTTCCTCTAAATGTATGCTCCCGAGTTCATAAACAGTGACGTTCAGTTTCTGAAAAAGAGAGGAAATGGTGCTCATATTGCATCACAGTATACAGCGATTTTTAGCTTAGTGGCTCAATCATGTTATTTTTTTTTCCCATTCAACTGAAGCAAATGTTCTGAAAAAAATTATGAAGCTAGTATACTTATCTATTGAGTATTATGAATAAAAATGAATGGAATTAGAAGAGAACAGAGTGTTTTAATGAAAAAAGGAGAACCCTGGAAAAGAACTACCATCTTTTTAATTACTTCTGTAATATGTTATAGAAATAACAAAAAAAATGGTATCGCCTTAAATTATGTTTATGGTGAGGATATTCCTCCTCAAAGAAGGAATATTTATAATTTCAAAGCCCCTATTAAGCTATTAAGAGTCCTTAATACCTTAATATTTGAAAGATGTGATTTCATCTTTATAATAATGATAGAATCACTCTTCCTAAGATGAGAGCAAGAACATGAATGAATCATTTAATTGGATCACTTAATTTTTGAAAATCTTATTTAATAATGTGAAAATAACTGAGTTTGTGTTATATATATCTTCTGCATGAATGTACATTACTGTGCAACAAAAATGCATTGCTTTTTTTTTTTTTTTTTTTTTTTTGCAGAAAGAGGTAGAAAAAATTATTAAGGTTGCATGGGATATTTTCCAACCTTTTCTTTTCGGTTTAATTGGTGCTGAAATATCTGTTGCATCTCTTGATCCTCAAACAGTTGGTAAGTCTTCTACTAACAAGTGAGCATTATCCTTTTCGGAAGGAAAATTATACGATTCAGTTGTTGACATGATTCTTTTTTTTAATACCAGAAATAATTAAATCTATTTCTTTGTTGCAGGACTTTGCATTGCCATACTGGTTGTGGGACTAATAGCCCGAGTTACAGCCACATTTATATTGGTCTTTTTTGCTGGTTTTGAGCTGAAAGAGAGAATATTTATTGCATTAGCTTGGATCCCCAAAGCTACTGTGCAGGTATATTGCATTTTTATGGCAGAATTCTGTCTTCTGGAAATAAAATTAATTGAACACATCCTTCCAAGAAAGTTGAATTGAATGGAATTGAGTTGGGCTGAATTAAGTTGAATACTATATTTGGCCAAATGTGATTAGATACACAAGGAATTTATCCCCGGTATAGAATTACTCAGTATACATGCAAAGCAACAGAATCATTATCATCATCCCAATAAAAGGGGGGAGTAAAGAAGATAATAAGACTGATAAATAATAATAATACTACAGCCACACTACATGAATCAGTATACATAGATATTAGACTGTGAGAATTAGGTGTTCAGCAGAGTGATGACATGAGAAAAAAACTGTCCCTATGTCTAGTTATTTTGGCATACATGTTTTGGCATACAATGTCCTATAGCACCATCCCAAGGGAAGGAGTTTAAACAGTTTATGTGCAGGCCTTTTCCTTCTCCTTTTTATTACATTCGTTGTTCACATTTCTTTACTGAATAGCATAAACCTTGTTCTCCAATAAAAATTCTTCTATTCTTAGCTAGAAAATGGGGATGTTGCAACAAGCATTTTATCTTTATTTCAATGCAAGTCAAATCATTCATAGTCAGAATTTGCAATCCTATTTTCAAATTTCTCTTTAGGAACACAATTTTTCATAGCACTAATGCAACAATTATACTACAACATCATAAACATTTCCCTAAATCTAGTGAGCTGATCCACCTATACTAGAAAAGTATATGAAACCATAGCACTGTTGAGATGAATCACAAGGCTAGATCTCCCTAATTAGATATAAGATTTTCCAGAAGCAATAAGAGACTATTTGTCTGATATTGTAACTGTAGCCAAGTTCAAGACTGACTTTGGACTGTGAACCTCATCATCATCATTGACCTAAGCTAAGGTATAGGCTGTTTGTAACTCTAAGATGTTTTCAGGGTTGTCAGTATGAACGTTAAGTCATTGCCAACAAATGTTGCTTGTGTGAAAAAGTAAGAGAAAGAGAGTAGGGTGACAAGAGGGAAACTGACCTTCATCTTATCCTCTACTATTTCTTGGCATCCCAAATTACCAATTCTCTATCTTAACCACAGGCAGGAAAGTCCAATTTACATGAGCTTCAAAAATATAAACAGCAGTTAATAAGGCTGTTAGTAAGGCTCTTAAAAGAAACTGCAGATTCTAAACCATTACTCTACTATAAATACAATCCTAGTTTGTTGCAAGATTTGCTATTATACTTCTCACCAGGTATAACCCTCAAACACTTACTGATTACAGTAAATCAAATTTTGAAAATACTGTATATGAAGGAAGAGCTAATCCCCTTTAAACAGGAACTATTGTATTTACTCTTGCAGTCCTCTTCCAAAGCAACAGTAAAGAATAACAGTACAACAAAGTTGGACGGGACCTTGATGGTTTCCCAGTCATTTGATTTTTCTTGCCTAAGTGTAAAACCTTACTTTTCTCTACACTGAATTTCAATGTAGAAAATCACTTAAAATAAGTTATGAAATTTGTTTGAATAGATGGATACCAATTTAGATGCTTTTGAAAAAGGCAATACAAATTCAATGAGAATTGGTCTCTTAATGGCTGTTAGTCTTAATATCTAGGTGCTATCACCTGAAAACTAGATAGCATACTTTAAATACCAGCTACTGAGGAACAAAAGTGGGAAGGGTTTCTTATTCACTAATTGGCTGCTGTATGGTATGCAGTGTTTGATGAAACAAGTTTTTGTGCTGTATTTTTTAAATGCTCTTTTGCTGTGTTATCTATTATTTCTTTTCTCTTGACAGGCTGCAATTGGCTCAGTTGCCTTAGATACAGCTCGGGAGCACGCAGATAAACAATTAGAGAAATATGGCATGGATGTTTTGACAGTTGCTTTCCTGGCAATCTTAATCACAGCTCCAATTGGAGCTCTAATAATTGGGCTGGCAGGGCCCAAACTTCTCCACAAGACTTCTGATACCAACAGAGAAAGTCATATATATGAAGAAAGAGAAGAAATAGAAATACAAGGGCCAGCATAGGGAGATATGAGGTGCAATCCACAGATTACCTGAACTGAGACTACTTACGAACCATGGTATTCACAAGTAAGTTACAGAAGTTTAAAGGCCTATGAGATACACTGCAGATCTTGCAAATATATGTACATATTTTTAAGATGACATCAATTGGAGCTATTTAGAGCCAATATTAGCTATTAGTGGCTTGTAGCTTTTCTTTTTGTGGTTAACAGTTTATTAGGTGAAAAGAAGATTAGTGGCTGCTGAATTAGAGCATATTTAAAGTACTGAAGAATAAATGAAGCTGTTGAGCTTAAACATCCCTGGGTTAACAGAAATGTTTTAGATGTACTGCCTGGGTGAGAACTAGGGATTACTGATAAAGACTTCCACCCCTTTCTCTTGTGGTGGAAAAATAGTTAGGACTGAGATATAGCCTGACGTTTCTCTGAAAGACTGGTAGCCTGAAGTCTTCTCTGAGGACTTGGGACTTGGTTGGGAAGAGTGAATTAGTGTAGTTAAAAGTAGAGTTTATATAAATAGTGTTGTAGAGAATTGGAATGTTAGATGTGTTGATGGTATGTACTGTATGTTGAGTGAGGGAATGGCAAGATAAATAGAGGAAAGGAAGGTTGAGGGGGGCCCACTGTGGATTATGACAGACATAGATAGATATGGCAGGAAGCACCAGCTTGACTATTACAGGAAAAGGGAGACCCGTATATTTTTATGGGTCTCTTCTTCTAAACCAGATATTCCAGACCAGAGTCCAGGCGGCTGAACTGTTGGGCATATTGGCCTCCAGTTATTGCTCAAAAATGGAGAGTTGGTGCAAAATAAGACCACATTCATTTTACAACGTATTGGTACATGAATGTGCTGACTTGATGTAAGTTATTGAAACATGGATGGGAAATAATGAGAATGTAGCCCTGTTGCAAATTTGCTCTGCCAGTTTTCAGACTATGCAACAGCTATAGCAATTGGGCAAGGGAGAAGGGGTTGCTGCAATGTACAAGACACCTTCGTAGTGATGAGGAGCACTGTTCCAGATGTCACTGGATAAGAATGTCTTAAAGGTTATTGAGTTATAGAGAGTCCTCCATGAATTTCTGAATGTCATCTTAAAGATAATGTTAGGCCATTCCAAGATTGAGTGTTTGAGGAGACTTTGATCTTCCTGCCCTGGAAGAGAGTTCATGTGTTCCATGAGTTTATAACCTTGGGCCTGCCCCAAATAATCCATGTCAATAGACAAAAGCAAACACCCATTATGCCTGATTTATACTTGGAGCAAATATGACAAAACTGGAAATGGAGGACATTGATACCTATCATCTGCTATGATCAGTTCACTTCCTCTTCAGATTCATAGACAACCAAGGCTTCCATATGAATACTGAATCCTTTCAAACTGGTATTATCCAGGACCTGGATGAATTCCAGTGGACTTCAGAGGACAATCTGATGAATTATTCTGTTTTGTGTCTGGCTTACTTATGGATCCAGCTGCTTCTGAAAACTGGGGGGGGGGGTACTAATATTTTATATGTTCCTTTTTATGTCCTGCTCTGTTTTACATTGCCCAATATATACATATTGAAGTGGGGCTACAAAAAATTTAAAATAAATAGAAAAAAATACAACTTTTATTGAATAAACATCCAAATATGCCTTTATCTTTCTAGAAAAGACAAGAATAAACACACTGAATGGTTCCATACATTTTTGGAATGATTCTATGCTATCCTACAACTGATATTTTTTCCTAACATATAAAACAAAGTAGCTTAATGAACAAATATTTAATTATGGCTTTCAGCCAGTTAAATGAGCCTTACCATGCTACTCTTATGTTCACACAGTGCCACTGAGTTGCTTTACTATTAGGCAAATATATACAGTACAGCAGGGGTCTCCAATCCCTGGGTCGCGGCCCATTATCGGACCTTGAGCCTTTCGGAACCAGGCCAGAGAAGTGGCGATTGTGCGCACCCTCACTTGCGCAAGCAGCAGGTGAGCACATGTGTGTACATTTGCCTGCCGCTCTTGCAGAGCCATCCCCTCTCCCCTTGCCGCCTGTCCACAAAGCCAGAAAGGTTGCGGAACTCTACAGCAATGAAGATTTAGTGAATTGATTCTTTCAAAATCTTTGTAAATTTTCCTACTTGCATACATACAGTCTTAGAAGGTCTCTCTCTCATATTATTCCCTTTTGTTTTTAATATTCGCTTGTATTGAAAAATAAACTTTAAAAAATGCTGCCTCATGGATCCAAGGTGCCTTGGTAGTTGAATATTATGAAATGTGAAGAATCCAAAATGATCCACCGCCAGAACAAGCAAAAATACAATAAGCCTGACCAAGGTATAACAAAAAAGCAACTGTCCAAAATTAAAAAAAAATTGAGTTATGAGACCTAACTTTGAAGAAAATTATTAAAATATCTCAAAAGACTAAGGTCAAATGTAGTCATATAATCAGATTCCAAAATACTATTTACAATTCTATTATATAAAATACTATTTATATTATTTTTCTTCATAGCAAACATAATTGTATTTTCCAAATCATCCCTTGCTGAGCTTGAAAAATACTTCACTATGGTTTGCTTAAATAATCTATGGTTTATTTAATGACCACAAAAACTATAAACTACCTACAAATTACAATGGATGGGTTCACACAACATGCTAAAGAGAGTGCTAACAACTAGATGACTGCAAAGAAATACAATCCTTCCATTCCCCTCCCCACCATCTGGTCAGAATCTATCCTTCCATCCATTCCCCCCCCCCCCCCCAGTCTCAATTGATGAAGTTTCTTGGATGAGAAAGGAAACTTTTTATTCTTCCTCAAAGAAAAAAACAGTCCAGCTACCTTTTGAAAAAGCACCTTTGAGACAACAATGACCTGGATGATTAAAAATCTCCAAAGGGGTTTATCCTTTCATATATTTTGATTCTATAGCTCATCTTTTCTCAAGTTTAAGCTTCTTCGTGGAATGCATTCTCTACTCCCCTTCTCTGAACCGGTTCTGATTTCTCAAAATTAGTACACTGCACAGAACTGCACAGAATACTACAATACTAGAGATGAGAACTGACCAAAGCAGCGAAATAAAACAATACTTCCTATGATTTGTTGAGAAATATACTAGTACTGATAGATAACCTTTATTGTCATTTTTTACTATGAGCACACTGGCCCGTATTAAAAGTGTGCAGCTCTTTCGCACCAAGACCTTTTTCACAAGTAATTACTAAGCACCAATCTATGTACTGTGTTTCCAAAATAAACATCTTGTATTTCTCTCTCTTAAATTTTATGCTATAACTTCCAGCCCATTTCACCAGCCTGTCAAGATAATTTTGGATTTTATTTTCTAGAGAGGTTTCTGAACTTTTTTTTTAGTGAGACTTTAAGATGGGTGGACTTCAGAAGGGTGGCAGCTGAAGTCCACGCATCTTAAAAGTCCTTGAGGTTGAGAAACACCGTCAGTATGCACCATGCCACCACTCCATTGTATATCATCTAGAAATCGAAAACGCTTCCCTCTCATTCTCCAAATCATTTATGAAGAAAGGAGGAAGGGGAGAGGACCCAGGGGTAACCGCACCCGTTTGATACTTTGTCCACTCGATCTGCGAATCGCTAACGAACCCCCAAGTCCAAATTTTAGGGCTGCAATATCCACTTATATTGTACTTACATTTCTCTCTCCCTTGTCCTTGTATTCTTTTTGCAAAAGTAGAAACAAAACGAAAAAAGGCGATGGCTGCTACTATTTCAGCCGCATGGGTCCCCAAAGGCTGGGGGCTGAGCAAGGATTTCCTTGGGGGGGAAATGCAGAGGAAAGCAAGCCGGGGCAATTCTTGCTGCAGGGCAATGACAGACACCCCCCCCCCCCCCGCTGAGCGCCGTTGATCCAGATGCCCTTTGGCGGCAGGCTGGCACGACCGTTATTTCAGGACCGTTATTTCTCCCAGGCCGGCTCCGAGGCAGCTTTTACAGTTTGGAGAGCGGCCGACCGGGAGGTGGAGCTAGTAGTCCTCAGCCGTCCTTGCACCTCCCACCTTTCCCCGGCTCCAGACCAGCCTTAGTGAGAGGCTTCAACATTTTAAGCACGGTTTTCTGCCCCACGGTGGCTTGGGACGTTTAGCGGGTCAGTGACGCTATCCTCGCCTTATATCACCGACCCTCCGAGGCAGACCTGGGCCGTGTGATGCTCTCAAGGGGGATTTAGAAGCCAATTTCAAGGGTTCGCCTATCAGCTCCTTAAGTCATGTGCCATGGTTTAGGAAACTGTAATGGCCAATTTCGTGTAACGCCCATGCCAAACGAGCCACGATGCTGTTTAGCGAGATGCGTAAGTCCCGTCCACCACATGCTATTTCTGAAGATGAAATTGGGAAACAATCCTATAGTCTTTTGAACGCCCGATGAGAGTACAATCAGCTTGCTTTTCTGAGAAGTATAAATCCTCCCCCACCTCAGATTTGCTTCCCCCCAAACCCACAGATATGTTGCCATGGAGATTCTTAATTATCTAGGTCATGGCTGTCCCAAGAGTGCTTTTCCAAAAGACAACTGAACTTTCTTGGTATTTTTTTTTAAATGAAGTTTCTTGGATGAGAAGCGAACCATTTTCAAAGAAAAAAACAAAGTTCAGTTGCCTTTTGGAAAGGCACCTTTGCAAACAAACTATGCTTGATTTCATCGTAGTCCCCCAGCCAGAGCTCAGATTTATAGGAGTATGTCTTAAATCAGGAATTTAGGGCAGATGTAATTTTAGGAGTGGATGTTTATCCCAAAAACGTGCATACCAAACTGAGTGTGAAGTCAGGAGAAGTTCATTCCAATACGTATAAGTATCATCCCCTGCTTCCAATGATAATAAGCATCTTAATTGTACTGGGAGTAAGATGAAACATGTAAATACGATTTTCTGATTTCATTGGGACTTCTGCTCCAAGATAGTGAGCATAGGGGTTCAGCTAAACAATCCAGTCCTATTATAGTAGTTCATAGTTAAGAATAAATTTGCCTTTAGTTTTTTGAGGTTATTCTCAAGAAAATATATTTAGGAATGTTAGTGGCAGGGGTGTTGATATATAACCTTTTTATTTTAAAAAATGGCAAAGAATTTGAACTAAAGCAGTTAATTACCTTGTGCAGATGAATATCTGTACCCATGTTGTTCAGAATGTCTTGCCTTGTCTGCTCTAATATCTTGAATTTGCATAAAAATAGAAGTTCCCCATTTATTAAAAGAATGAATTAGTTTTGGTGGTTCACACTAAGATTTTGTGCCGAAAAGTTAAGAAAAACCAAGGGTTTTTTGTTTTTGTTTTTTTGCTTTTTGGAGTATTGTGCAACTCATTCATAGCATTTCATGAACCCTGGCACATACTCTTGACTAATGATTAGAGAATATCATTGATGGTGATATTTTTCCAGTTCATGTTTTTATCTAAACTCAATCCAATTCCATTTGGGAAGTAGAATCTAAGAAGATGGTATAAAATTTAAAAATAAAAAAGTTCCTATTTTTTTTAAAAAAGATGACTTGGATAACACTCAAAAGTCATTAAAATAAATATATATTTTAAAGTAAAATACATTTTATTTTACAAAATTAGATAGTGAACTATGTCAGAGAGAATATTTGTGGCAGACAAGAAAAACATATCTTCAAAGTCAAGAAATGAATCTTATCCAATGCAGGTAATAGTAATGACAGTTTTATAGTTATATTGATAGTTTGGGAATTACCGGTAATAAAGAAATAAGTTATGCCTTTCTTCTATATAGGATCGAATGGTTAAACTTTAATGTAAGTATTGTCATGTTTCCTTTCTTCGTGATATAGTTATGGCAAGTAAAGTTAGAGAAATGAAATGATCTTGCATCTAGATGTATAATTTCTGTTAAGTCAAATAAGCAAAACGTCTAGTGAAGGAGACCAAACATTACCTTTGGGAATTTGTGTGATTCAAATAGGAGACAGTCGCATGCAACTTTATTGCTTAAAGAGCACCAATCTTTAGGGACAATAAATGGAGGTTTTTTATGTCAATAATAGTGCTTGTCTCAATATTAAAAGAGCTCAATGTTTGTTTTTCTTTGGACCAAAAGGCTTATGATTTTTATTTACAAATAATCACACTGAGATGAGGAACAGTTTAAAAGTTCCAAGAAACAGCCAAGTCCTTTCTTCTTTTAGTTATGAGATTTATCTCAATCTATGGGGACTCTAGAAAAGTTATTTTTTTAAAGAGAGAACAATAATAAATATTAAATTACAATGAAAACCAGAATAAATTACAGGTTCTTTAAGAATAGGAATATTTTTATTGGCCAAGTGTGATTGGAAACACAAGGTATTTTTCTCCAATGCATAAGCTCTCAATGTACATACAAACAATAAAAGTGCTAAGTCACAGATCATAAATCATAAAAGACAATTAAAAATTATAAGATACAAATAACAAGTGATAAATATATGATACCAATAGGAAATGGTAGCAGGAAAGATGAGATGATGAGAAAGATAAGAAAGATGAGAAGATGAGAAGGACAATAGCAATACAGCCGTACTGCGTGGGTAAATCTTTAGGCATAAGACAGTGCTGTGGGAATTAGGTGTTTAGCAGAGTGATAGCATGGGGGGGGGGGGGGAGAACTATCTTTATGTCTAGTTGTTTCGGCATGCAATGCCCTGTAGTGACGTTTTGAGGGGAAAAGTTGAAACAGTTTATGTCCAGGATGTGAGGGGTCTGTAGATATTTTCTCAGCCCTCTTTATGGCTCATGCAGCATACAGGCCCTCAATGGAAGTCAGGCTGGCTGCAACTGTTTTTTCTGCAGTCCTAACTATTTGTTAAGTTTGTACCTGTCTTGTTTGGTTGCTGTACCAAACCAGACAGTTGTAGAAATGTAAATGACTAACTCAATAATTTCTCTGTAGAACTGTATCCGTAGCTTAACAGCTGTATTAAACAGATTTTTTCAGTATCTGTTCTTTAAATTGACTAGTGCAAGCACCAATGGCTCTACAACTAATCTCCAAAAGCTAGATTTTGGCAAGATTTCAGAAGACCATAAAGTGGGATCCATACTTGTCTTAAAGTTAACTATTTCACAGAAGGGAAACTCCCATAGAAAACACCTGTATGGGGCTTCCTCCAACTGCACTTCCTAGTAAGTTCTACTATGGAATCAGTAGACTTCTAAACTGACAGCCATTGCATCTTGTTTGCTAATCCTCTTCTTCCCCATCCAGATTTAACAATCTGTAGGCTCCAAATCAGAATTCCTATTGCATTCCCCATTGATCATGGGGCAAAAAAGTACAGCTAACTATTGCCATCATGTGGGTGATAGTTTAAACTAATAAATTAATTCTCCAACAAAATCATGTAAATGTTAAATAGATGTTATTATTTGCTTTTTTGCTGTAAGCCGTCTAGAATCACATTGCTTGAATTGGTGGCCTATAATTCCATTGAATAAACATATAAAAACCAAAAGAAAAACTTGCCATCAATGACTCTGTAAAAGATGTTTCTGACATTTTGCAACCAATAACTAAGAATGTTATAGCAGTTTTTCTATGGAATTGTATTCTGTTGAGAATGTTTCCTCATTTCATTTCAGGAAGCTGGTGTTTTGGATTCCAGTGGAGAGCAAGTACAGCCTGAGGCCAAGTTTCAAGAAAAACTGCGGAAATTATGTACTTGTCCTCCTCAAGGTATAATTGCCAAAGTAATAACAAACGGTATGTAAAACACAAGTCAAAGGCAAAAATAGTTCAAAGAGACCCCCACTTTAGGTTCCATTAGTTGCATTAATTTTAGAGGTTTCTTTTTACGTGCACTAAAAGTTCATCAAAAATAGACTTTATACTTTTAAAATTTTCATCTTATTTTCCAGTAAGAAACATGATTTCCATGTTTGTTTTTCTGAAAGAAATTGAATCAAATAATTAAAAAATAATTTGAATTATTTTGCTCTGATACCGATTAATCCTACAATACTTGAGATTTTATATAGGCTAATGAAGGGATAATTACTTGTTTAAAGTTTCCTTTTGTCTGATGGAACCTTCTGAAAAATTACTCTGGAAAAACATAAGAGAACCGTGGAGAAATCCCAATTTCACTCCAGGAGAAACAGAAGATAGAGACCAATGGGGTTTGTCAGGACTGAAGCCGGGAGGGGGGGAGGGGAGAAGAGAGAGAGAAGGAGATAAAATCAATGTCTCACTGGTTCAAAATTCTGTCTAATTTTGGCTTTGGATAAACCATGCTCTTGTGAGCTGAACATCATGGCTTAATAATATCATCATAGCATAATAACAACATCAAAATCAGCATAGTATGATGTGTGAACCTGTATTATGTGAGTCTTCAGACTAGAAGGTATTTAATATGTTGGAATGGTTAACACAATTTATGTATCTTATTTAGATGCATTAACTATTGCAAAGAAAAAAGAAATCTAATTATCCTAAAACAGATGATCCCAACTTCTGGGCTGTAGCCCATTAGTGGGCCATGAGCTGTTTGCAACCGGGCCATGGAAATAATGGGTGAGTGCACACACACACATGTGCACACCCCCATATGCAGAAGCAGTGGACAAATGCATGCACGTGCACTCTATTTGTGTGAGCAGTGGGCATGCATGCACGTGACTGGCACAAATGGAGCTGTGCACACAGGCATGGGTGTGCTTGCTGGCTGGTCACATGGAACGATCCCCTCTTTCCCCCCCTGCCGGTCCGCAAAGCCAGAAAGGTTGGGGAAACTCTACCCTAAAGGATATTTTGCGACTAGTACCTTCCTGATGCATTTTGATTATGATTCATAGAAAACATAATGCAATATGAAAGGATTAAATTTGTGCTGTGTGAGGTTGTGACTTACATTTTGTCATTTTTTCATTATCACAATTTCTATTGACACCTAGTCATGACTGAATTATCTGAGTCTGGGAAAGGTTAACTGTTAAAGTCAAATTATTGCATGGTTCAAGTGAAAATTTTGCCTCCCAAGAGCACATAGATTCCTGCTACAGTACTCTAGACAAACGTTTCCTTTCTTTTTGTAATAATTTTAAAAGTAAGTCAGGGACATGCAACATTTTAAGCTTCAGAATAATGTTATGAACAAATAATGTTTATGATATTACAATTAGTGTTTTAATACATGTTGATAAATCAATTTGATATATACATTTTAGAGACTGAATGGAATAAGAAATAGGAGATTCCTGCTTGGTTAAACAAAGGAAATTGTCTTTTAACATCTATCAAAAAATTCAATAGATGTTTGTTAAATAAGGTGATTACACTTTATTCAACAAAAATGTTTTAGCCATACTGGACGTCATTATACTCATACAGAAAAGGAATCAGTATATCATTTTGTTCAAGATGTAATAATTCATATATGTTTTTCCAATCTTCTAAAATTGTAATATTTTGGGGAAAAGTCACTATGCACTTTAATTTGACTTTGAGGCACAGTTTAATATTTTGGGTTGTTCCTATTCATATTCTGAATTACAAAATTACTATACAGAAATTGGCAACCGGACAACAGAAATAAATTCCCTGGATACTTCATATTGCTAAGAGATTATTATTCTTGTAAACCGTTCAGAGTCATTTAGATAGTGAGGTAGTGCATAAATTTGATCAATCAATTAATACATTCAAAATTGAAAAGATAAAAGATAAATTTATAAATTTCATTTTATTCTGTAAAACAAAGTTTTGATGTTACTTGTGACTCCTTCACACGTTGCTTGAAATATTGTAAGAAAATATGGTAATCCTTTACTGAAACTGTACTATAAAGCACTATCTTTAGATGGAGATATGCATGAGTTGCCCTTACATTTTTTTAATTTCTTAATTTATTTTTTACTTTCTTTCCCCCCTGCCCCCATTTGTTCTGTTCAAATAAATACTCCCTCCCCCGGACAGAAGAAATAAACAATAACATTTGAAAAAAATTAAGTGAAGGTAAGGCAGAACATAACAACATTAAAAAATAGTATCACAAATAGGGAAAAGTACAAGAACAAATTTTGCTACATCCTACAGATGATTTTTCTCCTTTCTGAATACCGATAAGGTTTATACTTAACATTTCTTTCCTTCCTCCCCACCCTACTTTTTTTTCCTAGTGGCAATAGGAGCAGTGGCCTGGGGCCTAATTTGGAATTTTGCAGACAAAGAGAGTCTGCCTGGTGGGAAGATCTTCGGAATAGTATGCCTCTATTTTTGTTCAGTAATTGGTGGCAAAATTATACAGCTAATTAAAATACCAGGACTGCCTCCTCTCCCTCCTTTTCTTGGTAAGCATCATGTTAACAAATAGTGTGCCAATTTCGTTCTCATTAGGTAAGCCTGGTTTCTTCCAGACTAGTATTCGAAATTATTAAATATCACTTTCAAATAATAAAGAAGTATTAACCTTTGTTATGAAAGCTTCCTTTGTGGCTCTCTCATGTACTCAGTCTTTCAAAAGTCTGTCTGTGAGGGGCAATAGATGTTGTGAATTATGGATTGATTCTGCAGTTGGTTCTGGGTTGTAATGAGTAGACTGCCAAACAAGCTGGTCTATGGAATTGCTGTCTTAGGCCTCCAAGGCCAACTCTTGTGACCAGCTGCAGAAAGGGGGACCTTAACAAGAGCTGGGTTTTCTAACACAGTTGCATGACGGGAAAAACTTTATCAGCTTAGGTGTTGCTTATCAGGTTAAGTGTCATTAAGATGAATTTTGCTTGACTACTTTATTGTATCACATTGACATATGAGAGGGTTCAGCTTTAGAATAGAATCCCCAAAGGCCAGGAAACAGGTCTGTGATTTTATTCTTGAAGTTGTGAAACTGAACATTGATTCTTTTTATTGGTTTGTTGCATTTATTTTTCCTGCAATATTCTCCATCTGTTCCTCCTTCCCTCCATACCCCCTACCCCCGTTAAATTTTTGTAAAAGATGTTTATTTCTGTAAGCAAAGAAAATGAAGAATCATTGTCAGATATTATGCTGGTCTCTGAAAGAGTTAATCAGGTGGTTTTTCACTGTTCCATTTAGGTATGTTGCTTGCTGGATTTCTCATCAGAAATATTAAATACGTCAGTGAGATGATTGTGATCGAAGTAAAGTGGGGAGTTATATTCAGAAACACTGCCCTCTCGATTATTTTGTCTCTAGCTGGTCTTGGCCTTGACCCAAAGGTGGAGTATTTTTACTTTGAGAAATATAGTAGAGGGCACAGGTGTGGGGAGAAATGGAACAGAATATGAAGAGGAAGCTTAACATTTCCTAATGTGACTAGCATAAATTATCCTTTGAATAGTTCTCAGTGTTATCCAGGAGGAATTTCTCTCCTACCTGCTGTGTCTGTGGGAAAGAGAGAAATTGTAGCTCAGATCATACTATGCGGGGGGGGGGGGGGGATAAGTTCCCATCAAGCTTATAAAAACTTAAAATAACAATTGAAACATAACTAGACCAGGGATCTGTGTATTGTGTGTTTGCTTGTTATTTACATACCTAAACACACACATTTAGAAACAATCTTTAGGGCTTATTTAAGTGTTACCATCAGCTGATTAACTTCCCTTCCCAACCACCTCAATTTTTTTAAAAAAGGAAAAGTGCTTTCACTAATAGTGGCCCGCCATTTTCCTACTTTTAATTGGCTTGCCTGGAAGCCTTTGAAAGGGCCTTGAAAAACATGGAGAATAAAGATAGATGGCTTCCCTCTTGAAATAATCCTGAAAATTGTCCTTATTCACTACGGGGGAAGATTTTTATCGTTACCAATGAACAAAGACGAAGGCTTCCTTAGAGTCAACCCCAACTTTGGGTGACTTCCACAAACATGGAGGGGTTTGGCCATGTTATAGAAAACAGGCCTAAGCCTGGGGGGACTCGGGGAGAGTGGGAAAAGGGGAGAAGGGGGTGGGTTAGGTGTTGGGAGGGCCAGGACAGGTGGGCTTGAGCTTCTGCCTAGCTTCCAAGGGCCTCTCCTACCCCCGTATCACTCCTTGCTTCGCTTAACGACCCACATATTCTTTTAATGATCCACTGGGAAGATCAGGGATGTAGGGATCATTAGATGAGACGCTTCACCTAACAACTATTACATGGGACCATAATGGGCAGGCTCCGTTATGGTCATATCTTGAGAAATAGTTTGCTCTTGCTTCTTCAATTACATACTTAGGGCACAAGAAAATGTTTTGGTTTGGGGTTGAAATATTCTTAAACTCCATGCTATGTTTTTTTACACTGCAATATCCTTTTTAATATTTTTGTTAATCCAAATTAAGAATAAAAATGGGCACCCACTCTTTATTAGAACAATAACACGCTTACCATATTTGGTCTGTTATATGTTTGGAGGGGAAGTACTTCTGACTAATTTGAAATAATTTGTGACTAAAAAGTACTTTTTAAAACTTGTTCTAATTTGAAAAACTCATATATTATATCTCCAGTATGGAGTTACATACATTAGATACCCCATTCTAAAGCATGATTGGGGGCTATTTTAGAAATTGTGGACTTAATCCAGAAAACATGGTTTATTGCAAAGGTAAATCCAGCCAATGTATTTATTAGCAAATCTTGTAATATTTTTTTCATGGCACTAAAGATGTGTAATATTACTTGTACAATATTTTTGTATTTCAGGCTCTGAACAAGTTAAAAGCTGTCTGTTTCAGACTATGCATGGGACCCTGCATCATTGAAGCATGCTCTGCAGCAATCATTTCTCACTTTATAATGAAATTCCCATGGGTATGGGGGCTTATGTTAGGGTAAGAGGTGACCCTGCTTCTTTTTGTGCCAAGTATTTCTTTTCTTTTTTAACATAGTACATCTTCTTATCTTCCATTCGTACAGTTGGTGAAAACTGGAGTCCAGTACTTTCCTTGTTAACACATCCAAAGCCACTTTAATGTTGGGAAGAAACAGGCAAAGGATGTTCTCTTGCTTGTACTGATGCATCTGGAAACTTTAGTTCTACAGTCTTAAGATCCCATTTCCCTTGCAGTCATATTGGGCTACAACTCCTTTAATCTTCAGCCAATACAAGTTAGGAAAGCCCCATTGTGAATAGGGCAGTTGTGATAGGAAACCATGTCCGTGGTAAACAAGGCCCCCCTCATCCAAGATCTTATCCAAGAGGGGGGTGCGGACCTGGCAGGTATCACCGAGACCTGGTTGGGCACGGAAGGGGGAGTGCCCCTCGTTGACATCTGCCCGCCAGGTTTCCAGGTATTCCATCAGCCAAGGACCCGGGGTGGGGGCGGTGGGGTAGCGGTCATTATAAGGGAGAATCTATGTCCGAGGGAGACCACTGTGCCTCAGATAGATGGTGGAGAGTCCCTCCTTGTGAAGTGGGGGCAGGGGGTTCAAGTGGGCCTGTTGATTATATACCTGGCTCCCTGCTATGTATCAACGGCCCTGCCTGAGCTGGCCGACGTAATAGCCGGGGTGGCGGTTGAGACCCCCAGGCTTATAGTCATGGGGGATTTCAATCTGCCATCGGCGGGCGAAACGTCGGCGGCGGCTCGGGAGTTCTTGGCCTCCATGACGGCCTTGGACTTGACCCAATTAGTTCATGCCCCGACTCACGAGGGGGGACACACACTAGATCTAATTTTTGTCTCTGGCCAGTGGCAGAATGATCTGGAAATGG